TTGGGATCAAAAGAGGTGGCTTGGGATTGGAATATGGTTTCGTTCCCTGCCCTTCCGTTGTTCCAACCATTCTTTGCTTGGCTTGAACCTGTCATTGGACAAAGTCTCCCTGAGATGATCCAGGGTAGAAGGAAACTGGATTGACCCATCCATGGCATAGGCTGCCTCAACGGTCTTCTGGTAGTCCCCGTATCGTCCTTCCTGTAGGCCATGGTAGCCCACGGTTGCTTTCAACCTAGCCCTTTCCGTCACTAGCACCTTTTCTTGGGCGTCGTGACCGGATGCGGCCTGGTATTCAGGTAATCCGATAGTCCTGGCATCAATGAACTCCGTTCCGACCAGGTCATACACTTGATCCACGTCGCTGTCGACCTTTCTCAAGTAGAAGTCAACTCTGTCATGGTCTCCTTGCTTTGGGAACAAGCCATGTTGGATGGTCTTGATGAATTGTAGCAATGGGAACTCTTTGGTTGAGCCTTGCATCACTATCAATCTGATCCTCTTGAGCAACTCAATGGGATCCAGCTTGACTGCATCCTCGTAGTCTCCTAGACCTCTAAGCTTGGACTTCATGGCATCGGTACAGTATGTCACCTGGATGGTGGTTGCACCTGTCTTGAGAATGTTCTCATAGGATCAAGTCGACTTGTCATAGATGGATTACTTTGCCTTGTACTCGCTGAGTTCCAAAGCATCGTATTCTTGGGCTTTGGGATCAGTAAGTGACACTTGGAGTGTTGGCTTAGTCGGCTTGGTGGGTGCCTGACTTGTCATGGTCTCAATGGCCAATGAAGCCAGTGGCACATCATTCCACTCAGGCTTGATCCTTAGGTCCTGGACAATGTGTGTCAGGGTCTCCTCAAAAGGATAATACCTGGTGTCAGCCTGTCCATTTGGATGGAAGAGGAACTGACGCTTGGGACTCTTGTTCTGGTTCCTGTAGCTGTCGCCCCTTCCTTGGTGGCTTCTTCCTGAGGAATTGAATCCCCTACCCCCCCTAGAAGGGTATCTTCCTCCACCACGACCACCTCTTCCTTGGAATCTCATGGTCTTGCTGGTGTGGTAATGCACTCTTGTGCTTGCTTGTTCCTTGGAACTAGCTTGTTCTCGTGGAACTATTCTTGTGTGGGTACTCCTGCAGGAAGGACCTCACGGTGGACTCTTGTATGAGTCAATGCTTTGTGAAAAAGCTTGCTTGGTGGCTGGATAGCCTTCTTTTCATGCACTCTTGGTGTACTGGCTGAATAGCCTCTGTCTTTGACAGCTCACGTAAAACATGGTGTTTCTTGTGTGGAACCTTGGGTAGTAGCGAACTGCCTCTGTCGGTCCTTTCGTTGCCTCTGTTCTTCTGCAGATGGCCTTCGTATACTTAGATGAGTACATGGTGTGAGTTTCAATGGCTGGAACAGTTATCTCGTGAAGATTTGGTCCTTCGAGTTATCAGAAACGTTACCGGGATTTGAACTCTCAAAGCTCACAGGCGCCGATGACACGATTAGACGTTTCTCACTCAATATCTGGAGTTAGAAGCTTGCACTGATACTCAGAGTACCCTGGTCGTGTGCCGCAACTTCCTCTGTATGAGTGTCTTTACCTATCTCTGATGGTACAAACAGTAGCTTGATCGTCGTAGATGGCCTCTTGCTCGAGCGATTTGAAGTGTCAAACGCCTGATGACGTAATCGCGCGACAACTCGCTGGATAACAGCTTGATTCCGTCGCTTCTGCTATCGAATCAGTGTGTAATAACGTACTCTTTGCACTGGTATCTTCAGATCAACGCAGTTCCGGCCGGAAACTGTGGATCGATCTTCGACGTCCGGTGTCAGTCGCGCGGAAATGGGAATTCTCCTGTTAGACCTGTTTGTCTATGCAGATAGTGCTGCTGCGCACTGTATTTCTGCACCTCTTCTCTGTTGCAGTAGTTAACTCTATACACTTTGATTTGGTTACCTTGATATCAATCTCGAGATCGGTAGTAGTAGTAACTTGAGATGGCCTTTTGCTTTTCAGTGTTGTTTGCTAGTAATACTGCAGCTTATTGGGGAGTAATTTGGTTTTAGATTAAGCTGAAAAGCAAAAGTGAGGATTTTCTGGTGGTGCATAGCAATTCTTGTGATTGAATTGGATATAAGGACTCCCGTAACACTTTAGACCTAAAACTCCCTTGGTTCCTTGCATGATGAATTTGCATGCGAACCGGACTAGATGATTAATACACGAGTCAATAGTAAAGAGGTGTCAGGTATATTTCCTCCAACAATTGGCGCCTCCAAACTTCTCCTGGATGGCAGAGAAACCGACACTAGTATCCTCAGAAGCCATCGATTCATCCACAGACTTGTTGGCCTTGCCGGGAGTCTTGACAGTTTCCATGGAGACATCAACATCCTTTCACTTGTCATCGACTTCAATGCTGTCATCGTCGCTGTCCTCTTTCTTAAGGAGGTTGGTGCTGTGGATGAAGTCCATAATCCTTTTCGAGGCCGCGGCCTTGGACGTGTCCACTGCCTTGGGCTTGGGCTTGTCCGATGCCTTGATCTCCTTCTCAAGCTGTTCCATCATCGCCGTAACTTCCTGCACTGTGACAAAGATACATTGGGAGACAGTCTTGAGGACCTCACTGGTGGCTTCATCCATCCTCGTGTTTGCATCTGCAATCAAATATTTTGGCATGTTGGGGAATTCCTCTTCCAAGAACCACTGCTTCGGAGTGTTCGCCCAAGTCTTACAAATGCCGTTGACTCTTCCGAGGGCTCGTTCGTTGATGACTCTGCGACGGTCAGTGTTGGCTGCTGCAGCGGCTTGGCTACTCTCGAAGCTTCCAATCTCCACGAGTTTGCACGCATGAGCTACGTATTCCGCTTTGGTCTTGAACTTGATTTCGTCGGTTCCAAGATCGTCTCCATTTTTATTGAACCAGGTACGCTCGAGGGCTAGCTCCGCGTCGTTGGAATCGAAAGACACCTATGCAAACATAACAGGACAAATTTGTGAGAGTGTCGACAGTTTCGACTTCGAGCCTTTCAGCTTCGAGCCTTTTCTTCTTGGATCGACTGTCAACTTCAGTTCCGAGTCAACGGCAACACGAGTTGGCAGAATATTGAAACACATTGATTCACGTGCTTGTTGACTTTTCTTTGTTAGAGAACCACGTGCGATTGATCTTGGAAGACGGTTCGTTCAAGGGCAAAGTGTTGATCAACAAGCGGAGAGTGTTCTCCGATTAGTATGGATGCATGCGTTGCTTCCAGCTTCGAGCTCGAGGATTTCGAGCTTCGAATGAATCGACACGTACAATCCGTACCGGAACCTACAGCTCTATCCTCACTCATTATTTGCCATTCCATCTTCATTTTGACTGACTGACTCTCTTCATTATTTGGCTACTACTCAAATCTATCTCCGTCCGTCAATTCGACTCTCTTCTATCTATCTATCTTTACTCTTCGACGATGAGCTTCCAACCGAGTGCAACAAACGGCGTAAGTGCTTGCTCCTTGGGATTTCGTGATGGCGTTACCCTTCCATCGACTATCGCCTAACTACTCCTTTGCTCTCTTCTTTACTCCTTCTTCCAGCTCGGCGGCGTGAGTGCTCCTTGGGATTGGTATCGAGGCTTGATGATACCTCCCCCCGGTTGGAATGACTACTACGATTTTTACCATGTGGAGCCTGTGCAGAACACGATAGAAGGCTGCGGAGATGACAAGATGGTTCGGCCCTTGATTACAGCAAAAGATTTTCGTGGACGTGTCTTTCATGGGGTGGGAAGCTTACGATTCAGCGCTTCAAAGAAACATCCACATTCCGAATCGTTGTGACCGGCTCGGGCGGCCTCGAACACGTTGAGCATGGGAAAACCTTCACCGATCGAAAAACTGGAGTACTCGATGTCGTCTTCTCCGATGCGCGTGAGTGGCACATCCACAAACCAACCAAAGTGCACGGAGATCACACAACCTGCCGGAAGTACCGTGTCACGATGGCAGCAATCGAGGGCCGCCCCGACGGTGATATTGCTGAGCTTGAAGTGGTGATCCCATACACGACAACATGCGACCAAGGTGCTGTTTTTGAGCACGGGCTCCGTTGGATGGCTAGCCTGATTGATCAGAACTGCAAGTACATCAACTTTTTTGCTGCAGTGCACGCGAATCAAGTCAATGCAGCCGCGGCCATGATCAAGAAAAAGAAGGATGACAAGCGTCGCCGTAGCTCCTTTGGAAACAGCTGAACTCCTATGCCCATGGGCACTATTAATAGCTAGGCTCTTGTTGTCCCTCCTGCTTTCGTCTTGTAGCTAGCTAGCTTGTCTGCTAGTAGATACATGCACCTACCTACACTTCTAGTGGCTCTCCCTTCATCTTGTAGCTATAGTAGCAGCTTCTAGCGCTGGCTGGTACGATGCTCCATCTCTAGCTAGCTACTCTACTAAGTAGTACCGTATGCAGACAGCAAGCTAAGAGCAAACTATAAGAGCAAACTACATGTAATACCAAATCAGTACTAAAGATCTTTGAGTGAAGCTAAAATAATGACAAGGCTTCTAGTCGGCGTTGTTGACACTGTCGTCTTCTTCCATGGCAGCCGCCACTTTGCGTTTCTTGTTGACTTTGCGTTTCTTGTTGTTGACAATGGGCCCCATCAAACAAAAGGTCTTGTCCGTCTCCGAAAGCTTCTTGATCTTGTTTGCCCTCTCAGTCTTGGCCTTCTTGAGCCTCTTGGCGGGGGCATGGTGCAACAACTTCGTGTTGCGAATCGGCCCCATCAAGCACACGTTGCCATAGCCATAGTGACCAGGTTCTTCCTCCTCGTCAACTTGAGTGGCTTCATCTTCAGAGGGCGTGCAATCAATGGCAAAGGTTCCAATCGGAATACCACCGCCCTTGCCGTTCCTTGGGTAGAAGTAGCGAGAGTGCGGCCCCTTGTCGGCAACGAGGCATTCCAAGATCGCTTTCTCGACCGAAAAAGGAACCGTGTTCGGAGGATGGTATGGGTCACTGTCAAAGATGGACATGGTGATGGGTGCAGGGCATGTGCTAATGTGCTCATCAGCAATGCGAAGCGCCTGGCCTTGAATGGCAGTGTAGTGCATGTGCGTGCCTTGCAAATAGATGGGATCTACACCCGGAATCTCGCTTGGAAGCAGTCTCCATGGAACGACCTCGCGGGGTAACCCTTCCTCCAAGGCGTCAGGCCCAAGAAAGATGAATGCGTTGAAGAGGAAGTCCCAATAGTCCTGGAACGAGAGTTGGATGATGAAGATGGACACGAAGTGGTCCACGGCACTTTGGTAACGTCCGTAGTGGTACTCGATGATCTTGTTGCGAGCATCGACGTAGACTTGAATCTTCGTGCAGTTAGGAACCAAGACTGTTTCCAGACCGCAGAAGCCATCAGCAATCGAGGGATCCAAGGCATCGAGACAAGTCACGCTGGCGAGGTCGGCAGAGTCATCGGTCTTGGTAGAGGCGACGGTCTTGGTGGAAGCATTGGAGTCGGTCTTGGCGGAAGGTTTGGAGTCGGTCTTCTTGGCGGAAGGTTTGGAGTCGGCCATGGTGGAATCAATGGGATAAAGAGATAGAGTCGAAAGATCAAAGATGCGAAGAGGAGAGTTGCTGTTGTTCATGGTAAATTTTGGCAGAGTTTCTTCTAGAGAGGCTGATTGTCGAAATTGTGAGTCAAACTGAAGCTTCGATTCGAGCCTCGAAGTGTCGAAGCTTCGAAGCTTCGAGCAAATCTTTGAGTCGCGTCGATACCCGTGTGCTACCAATACTTTGTTGCGCATTCCCGTGATTCTATCAAGTCTTTGCCTCTAAAGACGGAAGAGGAAAGTACGATTGAATGGTTCTCCGATTGGTTTGGCCATAATCAAGCGTAAAGTAAGCATCGATTGCATGCGTCTCCGATTGGTTTGGCATAATCAAGCATAAAGTGAGCATCGATTGCATGCGTCTCCAATTGTTGGCCCTTTCAAGCAATACGAATCCCATCTCCAATTGAGTAAAGATATCCAGAATGAAAGTGTTGATACATTGCCAATCTTTCAAAGAGTGCTTGCCAAATCGTCTCTTTGTGTTCGATGGAGGATCGAGGTTCCGAATCTTTATAGTGCGAGTTCGAAATTTCGAAAGGATTTTTTGACTACCGTATAATAAGGCTTTTAATGATGCCCTTTAAATCTATGGATCGAATCGTGCCTCCAATCTCAACGGAAATTGCTTCGAAATTGGTCGAAGCTTCGAAGCTTCGAAGCTTCGACTTGCTTTCGACCAAAAAGCAAGGCTAGCACGCACCAATGCACCATATTTTCAACCGTGGAACCCATCCATGCATATCGACACCAACCAAACCAAACCAAACCAAACCAAACCAATCGACAATGACAATGACACTATCAAGCCGTCGCCTCCTACCAACCCTCTCTAGATCTGCGCTCCATCTCCTCTTCTCTGGCATGCACACGGTCGACAATGGTAAGTTCCAGTACCGAGGGAAACTCATCTTCGATTTCCGGGAGTCCAAGATGTCTTCGATGGATGTCACCTTTTGTTGCTTCTTCCTTTTATCTGCTAACTCCTTCTTTGCTTTTGTTTTCTCTGAATAGTTTCGGGCTCTCTTCTTCTTGATCTGCTTCTGTGTGGCTTTGACGGCGTCATCTGTCAGTTGGCTTCGAATTTCATTTCGGCATGCATTCTCTTTTCCTTCGTGGCTGCCATTGATCGGAACCTGTAATCTATCCTCTTTCCAATCTGATGAGCAACCTCTATCTTCGACTCGTGGTGAAACTTCATTCCTCTGAAGCGCTCCAGATCTTCGACTAGGTGGGCAAGCATGTGGATTTTGGGAGGAAGCGTCTTTGACATCTTTCTGAAAAGACGCACTAACCGTGGCACCAAGACATCTCGAATCGAAGCCATCTCACTGTCTGTGATTGTCCCATACGGTTGGTAGGAGTAGTGTGAGAGTATGCCCATGTATTGGAGGATCCGCTTGAACCCATTGCAATACTTTTGAATCTCGGCATCGTCACAACCTCTGGCTCTCTTTTCTTGTGGAATCTGTTGGAGCAATTCCACGATGGAGTCCATCACCTGATCTGCACCATGCAACATCTTCCTGCAGTAATTACCTACCATGGCTCCACCATGCCAGCTCGACCGGTGGATGTTGAAAAGGTTGGCCATTTCTTCATCGAGGCTTTGTCGAATCTCCTGGCTGAGGGCACCGTATTCCGAATCTTTTTCGAGCCTCCTCATTTCGGCAGCTGCTTCCCTCCTTGCAGCTTTGGCTTTCTGCAGCTGCTCTTCGGCCGCTTTGAAGGTTTCCTTGGCTTCGGTAAGCAAAGCGGCATTAAGTGGCCAATGGCACAGTGGCACAGTGCACAGTGGCACCACCTCGATCGAACAGTCTTTAACGTGCTTGAAGCCGCCAAGAGCGTTCATTCCGTGATTTCTTGGTTGACATTTCCTGAGTTTTCATACGTACCGAATACCATCACTCCATCGACGTCTCTTGCAATTTTCCACAGAAGTCCAATTACGTTGGCACTGATGGCTGATTGAGGGCACTCAGTGGCTTCTCTGACCTCTGCGGCAGTGGATGGGTGGTCTACAATGCGACGGCAATCCCGTGGTTTCGAGGACTTCACCTCTTTCGCCGTAAATTGGCATCCTCAAGAATGGATCATATCGCTTCTCTAAAAGAGATCAGCTTGTCAGTCCAACACTGTGGATACTTCGGTATGCTCTACAGGAGATCATCTCGAAGGTTTCCTTCGTCGATGGTGCACAGGAGTCCTCTTTGGCTGATTCAAAGGCGATTGTGATTCGGACTTGCCCTCTCCGCCGCAGAGGAGGGGATGACATCCTCGACAGACACAACAAATCAAGGGCTGTGGTAAGCCTCCTTTATACGGTAGGAGCAACAACCTCCGCTGTGGACAGGGTTAGCGGCATGATCCGCAGCAATGTCAGCGGCGGCAGGAAGTTTCTTGTTTCGGGTCCTTTTGGATTTCGGATAAAACAGCACAGCTGCCATAATAGAGGCGCTGCGGATGAACTTCCCACGGTGTTCAGCCGACCGTGGATGCCTTTCGCTCCAAGATCGAAGAATGCACCACCGTTCGTTCTGTTGGTGATCGAGCGAAAGCACTCCACAAGAAAGCAACAGCAAAGTGTAGCAACACGATTACCGGCACTGCCACTGGCAACAACTCCACCTAAATGTTCGGGGAACAAAAGGAAGCCCATATCCGTGTGTATCAGCGTGGCTACACGGGCTTCGGTTCATCGTATTTTGTCGCTGCATCCAATGCGATAACCACAACAATCAAATTGACTACATGCTAGCCACAACATTCGCTCGTCATCATGAGGCTTTATAACGCAAGCTCTTGTACTCCATGCTGCTCTACGTGGGAAGGCGCGGCGGCAAGGAGGCGTCCTGAACAGCATTCCTTTGTCCCTCCTCAGTCGGATTCAAGCAGCGAACGCACTGAACCCTCCTTCGTGCACCAAACAGACCAGAAGCAAGGCCCTCCGCACAAATTCCAGCAGCTCACAAAGATTCCTTCCAGTTCCACCAGCACCACGGGTGGGTTGACGCCACTCTTTGACAATACTGGATCTTCGCCCTCATTCTCCCATCATGACAATGCCGAAAGGAATCCAGCGCACATCCTTACTGAAGAACCTGCCTATGCCAGAAAGGCAAACCAACACGCACAACGCAGCCGATCTTCAGCGATACACCCTCCTTTGAACCATGCTTCGAATGCTCCACAGTACGACAAGTACAATGCGATTGACGGCATTGTAGACCTTGATATAACCGAGGACGACGTCGAAAGCTCCTCTTCCACGTTGACAACGACTCGATCCATGATGTTGCAACAGCAAGAACAATGCACGATAACAGTCTCGAGTGCTGCTCATGGCAAGGGTGCAGAAGTGTACAACAAGAAAGTGCATTCGACTAGTACCTCTCGTTTCGAACCCAAGATCTACGACCGTCAATCAACCAACAAACTCTTTCACAAACAAGATGTAATCAATATTGGTATAGCAGAGAGCGCCCCTGCACTCAGACATCTTGGACGACAACCCAGTGCCGATCCGGCTAAGAAACTGCTCAATGTTCCAACAAGGAGCAACACCAAAATCCAGGCGACAGGTAACGTTCCCAAAAAGGAAAGCTCCAAAACGTCGACAACTCTTCGCCCTGAAGAAAGCACAAGTCGCTCACCTGACATTGTGGACTTTTCGTCTAAGCCAACAAGAAAGATGCATCCTGCAGAGACCCAAGCACGGGGGCATTTGCCTCGATTCAGGGGCAGCAATGCAGATGATGACCTCGTGGTGGACAAGAATACCAGGCTTCGCAAGTCTCCCCTTCAGGATGTCGGCCGCGTGGAGTTTTTCCCATTGCAGACCCCCTCCGTGCCAATGGCCGAGCATTCCGATGAGGAAGTTCCGGCAAGACTTGGAGTGACTAGTAACTTCCCTTCCATATCACGGCTACCCTCCGAGTCTACAGATGGCAACCAGGGACGAGACTGGGATCCATTCCAAGACCTGGATCCATTCCAAACGACCGTCTCCAATGATGAGGGGGAGCTGTGTTGGGCAACTTTTGGAAGTTTTGAAGAGCTCTATCCCGGCATTGATTCGACTGATAGTGGTTATTCCTTTTTCTCGTTCCATGGCGAAACCCATGACTCGGCTCATTTAGATGACAAGGAGAACCTAATGTCGAATAACAGTGATGAATCAGGTACCGGTAGCGAGAGGAAGAATGCAGGATGGGATATGGGAGCCGTTGAACCTCGCAAGACTTTACTGCGACGAGGGGGCACAAACACTCGGAAACATTCCTTCTTTGACAAGAAGAAGCTGTTGGGACCACGCTTGGAAGCTCGTTTCACAAGATCGTATTGGCGCAGACTGAAGCAAAATAGAGATGAGCTTTCAGTGACAAAGCAATCAACTACGGTTGAAAGTTTACAAGCAGGGGAACAGGCTGCAAATGAGGAAAGGCAGAGGCCAAGAGTTGAGATAGCACCTGGTGACCTTCCTACAAAACGTGGGGTCCAGCCGGCAACACCTGCAACCAACAACGAAGACAACTGGTGCGAGTCTCTTTCTAACTTCAGCTGGGGTTTCGATCAGCAACCCTTTGGCAATCGTTTGGAAGAGGTACAACCACCAGGGGGCGATCGTGGAACATCAACCAATCGCAATGTTGTGATTAAGATTGGGAGTGCTAAACGGAACGACTTGTTTGAGAACAGCGGTGTCCAAGTTCTAAGCCCACGAAGGGTTCGAGAATGCAATGCCGTCCTTAGAGGTATTGCCATGGAGACGGAGCAAATTTTGGCAGCCATCGATGTCGCAGACGTTTCCCCGCCCCTCACACTGGAGCAAATTCTTGGACTTCGATCAATTCTACCAACACCTGTCGAAGAACGCATGTTGCATCAGCACGTGAAGGTGGCACCACAGGCAGGATCTGGAGTGGATATGTCTGATCCCGGCGAACTTTTTATGCTGTCTCTTGCTGTGTCCATCAATCAAGCCAGGCCCAAACTGGAAAAGATGCTCTTCCAGCTCGAGATGGGCGACTGCGTACATGACCTTCGCACTGCTGTAGCGGCGCAGCAGAGGGTGTGTGATGAAGTGACAAAGTCAGCAAATCTTGAGAAGTTCCTTGGGATTGTAACCTTGTTTGCCAACCGCGGTGTTGGTAAGGTGAAGGGACGAAAGCGGACGACGAGACTTACTCTGCCTGAGCTGTCAAGCATACTGGACGATGCAGCGTCTTACACGAGCGAGTCAAAAAAGGAGCCCCTCCTCGTCTTTGCCTGTTCGAAGATTCGTGCCACAAAGCCTGCTATGCTCAGTGTACGGAGGGATATGCCATCACTTGGAGAGATCGCAGCTGCAAAGACTAGCTACCATTCACTGAAGCGCGAATTCCAGCAACTGGAAGAAAAGTTTGACGAAACAAAGACTTTTGCGGTGGGGTTGGCCCTTTCGAAAAGTCGTAGGAGAGTTCATCCCGATGATCTGTCGGTGCACGAAGAGATAGATATCCTCGAGTCTGTCTCCGTCGGAAGGTTTGTGTTGAACTCTAGCTTGCTTATGGCTGAGCTCTACGAGGCATTTGACGCAATGGAGAGCTCGATCGTTGCCTTGATGGACTATTTTGCGGTTCCACAGGATCAGCGTCACCAACCTGATTTGGTTCTCCAAACCGTTGAGCGTTTGCTTTGCTACATGGAGACATTCATGCCGGTGTGACCAAAGATTCTCCTGCGGGAGTTGCGCGTCATACCGGTATGCCCTTAGCGATTCCAACTAGCTGTGCACGGAGAACATGATGGGTATAACTGTGGCCGTTGCATTTTAACTTGCATTGTAAGTCGTAGCTATTATTGTTACGAATCCAAATAGAACATTTCCAATGGATCTATGAAGTCTTGTATCATTTTCTTGCTGAAAGATGAAGGGAAGTACTCTGTCATTTTGTCATGTAGTTGTTCACCAATGTCCTCGGATATTACGCGAATGCGCCGTTGCTCATCCTCATGCATACGATCCGATGTTTTGCCCTGCACTATCAGCTTGATCACGCCTTGTTTCGGACTCCATACGGTAGTTTGCCAATTTGCCAGCACTGTCACTTTTGTCTTATGATCTTGGATCGTTGCGGAACTTGCAAGCATTCCTCGTTCGGTGTCCAAGACAGTGTGGCTATTCGCGAAGAACGCCGCTTCAGTGTTATTCACTAGATTCTTGTAGTCCAATGTCAGCGTTGCTTCATCCGAAGTGCCACCCATATCAATCTCATGAATGATGATGTCGATGACACTATCGTGTTGGATGACACTCCTGACAATCGACCAACCGTCTTGTTTCACATGCTCATTGTCGGAGTTGGCGACCGATTGGCAGGGTCCGTTCGTGCCCGCACCCAAGGACGATTTTCCCACCGACCAGACCTCTCGAAAGGGTTTGGCGATGAAGTCACTGTCACTGTCGACGCATAATTTCCTTCCGATGTGTGTTTCTTGAACCTGTTGCAATTGATGATCCCATCCCAGTCCATTCATCTTCGCGTAAGCCCACGAGCACATTCGACACTCGGGGCTCTTTTTGGTGAATTGATATTTGCGTTCAAAGGCTGCCAAGACACTTTCGTCTTTTCTCCATGCATGGTAGCTATTCCACAAGGCCTTGTCCTTGGCCACCATGTTGACGTGCGCCGCCAATTTGTCAAACGAATTGAAATCGCTGACGAAGATGGCCCCGTATCGGGGCAGGTGACTTTTCATATTGGTGGCTCCCAAGACAATTGGTACGGCCCCCGACAGCATGGCCTCATATGCCAGTTCCGTCACCCAGTCTTTGTGCGTGGATATTTCATATCCCAGGACGAACTTGTACTTTTTCATAATGGTCAATCGACCCTCGAGCGTCTCCAAGGATTCGCCCGGTTCCAGCTCCTTATTGTGCCCACACTTGCCTGGTGAGTCCACGTGATATTGGTTGTCCAAAACGTCCTTCCATCGAGAGCGACGACTGTTGGTGGCGCCGCACTGTTCATTGACAATGTAGACTCCACTGTCTTTTACCGCGTCAAAGTCGACCGGCGGCAGTGCGTTTCTCAAATTATGCTTGTCCAGGTCAATGCGACTCAATGGAATGTCCGATTTGAAGTAGGCAGACGAAAAGTATTCGTCGTTTTTGAATTTGGACAGTTCCGTTTGCACTTCTCGCTTGGCATTGGGATCGTCGTACGAGTGATAGATGACCCAGTCGGTCCCTTTGATGTACCGTGCCACACCCGTCATGCCGTTTTCGACGTGACAGGGAATGGAGCAATCCTTCAATGGTGAAACTTGACCCAGAGCATTGATATCGGATTGCGAATGGAGGACAATGGGAGTCATGCCATCTCCGTTGACGGGAGGAAAATCCTTTTCGAGCAAACGAACCGGCTCCGTGCAAGGTTTCTCCACACGAGCAGCCGATTTTGGAGCAATGGTCACACCACACCAAGTGCGAGGAAATGAGGCACTGTTGTAGACCATCAGGGCTCCATTTGGTTCACGGCATTGTTTGCGTTGTAGCAAGCGTGCTTTCAACATGGTGGTTTTAGCATCTTCGTCCAAATATTCGCATGGTTGCACATTGGTTTCGGAAAGGGCCGTGGCTACCATTTGGGAATGCTTTTCGCCACTGGTTTCAATCTTGTTGAGTGTGGAAGCTGTACGGAATTTGGGATTGCCTCGTTCGTGGACAAAATCCATGACATACCCCAGTTTGGTGGGTCCAGTTCCGGCTGGTTTCACCAATACGTCTCCATTGGGAGAGACATAGCTGATCTTGGATTGTTGTTCGCCCGTGTCTGTATTGTCGTTGTTGTTATCGTTGGCATGTTCCTTATCTTCATCGTCTGATATCCTTCCGTCTTCTGGAGCATCCTCCGGTTGTGGATTCTTTCTCTTCTTGTCTTCTCGCTGACGCCGTTCCATGCGCTCCTGGGCAAAATCCGGCGGTCGCTTTCGCTCTTGCAGAGCACCAGACTCGTCCAGTTTCAGAATGGCATGACCGGCTGGGGGCTGCTCGGATTCCCAGATAAAGTAGTTTCCCAAGAATATCAGTATCCCGCCGGCAAAGATATACCAACAGTACACTGTCTTGCTATTGCCTTTTCCACCTCGTTTACGCTTCTTCACTGCCACCATTGTGATGTATGGTCTTTAGGTTTCTTGCCAGATGGGGTGGTATGAGTAGAGTAGATTGATGCCAGGTGTTGAGAATAGGAGCTTCAGCCAATTGCTTTTATTACAGCCTATGGCCTTCGACAGATAATCCTTGCGCTTCCTGGGGCTCTTTAGAGACTAGCTAGAGGGGACGCTATCAATGCTTCCTGTGCCTCGCTCTGGATGGGTATCTGGCAGCAAGCTGTTATCGTTGTTGGACCATCCAATGTCCAATTTGTGAGAAAGGAAGATCCAGATGTCTCTTGTGACCTCCACCTTCTAATCGTACCGGTAAGCCTGCAAGCCTGTGGAGATGCTCGTCAGGAACAATTTCAATCACACTGGTCGTTGACGTGTCTTCTTGGCCGAGACCAACTCACACCAAGACCTTGACGTGGGAGTCAGAGTCAGTGAGTGACAGTCGAAGGCTCTCTCAACTTTCGCACTCGCGCTGCTCGTCCTGCAAGGTGCGCCAACGGCTCGCCCTGGCTCGTCTCCGAGGCAATTCAGCTAGCAAGACAACAACAATCAAAAGAGTTTTGTCACTTACTCCTGTCTGGTATTACAGCTTGACTACCTGGTACTGTCTTTTTCGAATCATCAAGCTACTGGCAAGCTAGTACAATTATAGTAGTACTGTTGATGGTGATACTATTTCACATGAACAACTTCCACCAATGAACATCAATAATAAGCAATGATACGAAACAGAACAATGACGAAAACGCCAATACTGGCGATCCTTTGCTTGTGGATGGCCTTGCTATGCGGTAGTTTTATAGGAGGAGATGAACCAAAACGACGGACGATCAACCAGATCAAGGGGGACAAATGGAAGAAAAAGAAAATGATGAAACGAAAAAAGACCAACCTCGATCCAAAAACGAAATATCGACATCATTCACCTACACCCTGGAAGCACCTTTCGCCAACAAATAATAATCACAACAACAACAACAACAATCATCATCATCAGGATGAGGAGATTCCGTTGAAACGACACCATTATGATGGACTGCTACAAAGTCCGCGAAAGCTGCGAAAGAAGGACGTGAAGGGTATTGAAGATGCTGCCGATTTCAAAGGTCAAGGAGTCGGAAGGGGGGCGGCTCATGTGGCAAAAGGAGAAGCGGCTGAAGAGGCAGATGGCTTTGAAGGCTATGAAATATTAGCAGGGCGTGGTGCACAGATCCCCATGGTAGAATGGACGTGGGGACGAGTCTGGATGGATGATAGTTTGAATCAAAACTTTCAAGACATGGCCCGACCACTGCAGGTACAACAGGAAGAACAAGAACGACAACGAAGCTTTGACGACTTTGATGATAGTAATGCGGATCAAGACGAGGAGGATCTTGAGTCGTCACCAGAAGGAGAAAGTAATACTGACTTCAGAATGAGAATCAGTAACTTTGTCGCAATGGGAGGCGTCATGGCTGGAGCAATGAGAGACATGCCAGTATACGGGAGCGCAGCGGCATCACCGGGATCAAGTGGATTAGGTGGTAGTGGTAATACTGGTGGTGGAGGCGGCAGCAGTGCCGGCCTTGGAGGTTCTGGAGGATTTGCTGCTGGTACCATTGGGGGGTCTGGAGGCTTTAAAGATATGGATATGGGGGGATACGGCAGTGGTAGCAGCGCTGGAGGTGCGTCTGGAAGTGGGAACACGGGTGGAGGTGGAAGCAGTAGTCACTATGAATTGGAAACAGAAGAAACCGCCTGGGACCAGCAGATTGTCGCGGAGACTCCCAGACCCACCAACCAGCGCGGCACTCCAAACCCAACAAGAAAGCCTGGTACCCCTCAGCCAGCAAATCCCGTCACGCCTAAACCTTCTCCAATGCCGACGCCCTACTCTACTGAAGACCGTGGCAAATGCCAGTTGTGTGAAAATGGCAATGCAGGAAAACACATGAGCCGTAATCTGATTGGTACAACCGTAACCTGCCAAGACATTGCCAATGCATTGGCCATGGCAGACCTCTCTGCCTGCCCAATGGAAAAAGAAAAGCTACCCGTCAACATTGAAGCATATTGTGGGTGTCCAGGGAAATCGTATTCAGGCAATTGCGTCTTTTGTCCCAGTGGCAAAGACAACATTTGGCATAACATTTCTATTCCTGCTCTCAACCATTGGACTTGTCAAGAGGTCGAAGACTACTGTGGCTACATCACCAACATGGATGCTTGCAACGAAATGTCTGCCATTGCCGACCTTTGTTGTGGTACGTGGGAGGAATATTGGGCCTACGGGGATGACGATACTGTTTGAAACAGGCCCTGAAGTCTAGTGAATGGGAGCAAGGGAAAATATGAAGGGGCCAGGGGCTTGGAATACGAGTAACTGAAATGTCTAGCTATAGTTGTAATGAGGCAAACTTGGGGCTTCATCTCGGACCAAGATGACCGATCGTACTGGCTAGGGCTAGACAAAGCTGTGCTGCATCCACCGCTGCGACCGATGCAAATTTGCCCTGGTCGGCATCTTTATTAGGTACCGACAGGACTTTGGTAGCCCAGGCTCTCAGGCTGAACCGATAGATGGGCAGGGTATCACTAGAAAAGCAGGTGTAGACTCCTTTTCGTTCCCAAGGATAAGTAATAGCAAAGCTAGTTCTCTATGCTGCTTCATCTCACAACCTACGGTAGTCTTTGGTCATTGTTAGCTATCCGCACGGAGTGGTCCATCGGTGCCTTCTTGGTCATCTTTGGGTTTGGAGAGGCCGTTGGGTCCAAAAATCTGGTCAAAACGCATTAACCTGTCTCATTCCGACAGCACCAACCTCGAGGCACTCTGCCTGGTTGCTTCAAAGGTAGTTACTGTTTGAAAAGCTGCTTCTTGTCACTACTATGCTTCATCTCAAAGATCCACCTGCTACTAAAGTTCATCAAGACGACTTTTCCCCGGGCAAGGGGAATGCCTTGCAGGCTTGTGTCGCTTCCTTGTTTGATCAACCCTTGGATGAGGTTCCCAACTTTATCGAACTGGACTGTGGCTATGAACAGGGGATACAAGACTACTTACAACAGAACAAATCTAGCTACACGGCTGTCAAGAAGAAACCCAGCAACGACAACACGGACAATGACACCGGGAAGCTCTGTATTCTGCGAGGCAAATCACCTCGTGGTGACTTTGGGCACGTGATTGTGGCCAGGGTGGTGGAAGGAGGGGATAAAGAGACAACCTTCACGCCCGTGCACGACCCTCATCCCGAGGGAACCTTTCTGGATAACAGTGAACCATTTGGATGGTACATGACTTTTGAGAAGGCTTGAACAAAACAAAAGAGCTACCAATTTAGCTAGCTAGACACACTACATGTAGAAGACTTCATGTCATGTCTATTATATTGCCATCATTTCTTGTTTGGCTTGCTCCAGATAGTCCCGACACCCTTTGGGCAAACTGTGGTATTTGCCATGGTATGCCTCCATGGCTGGCAATGCGGTTTCGTAGCAGTCAATCGCCTTTTGCAGGTCATTTTGACTGTGATGTAGACTCCCCAACGTGTACATCATCACGGCGAGCATGGGATGATACGGCGGATAAAAACACTGTGTCATGGTTTCTACCATTTCCGCGCACTGCTCCGTGGCCAATGATAATTCTCCCGCTGCCATGAGGGTTGTGTGGAGTTGTGAACGTGCCTTGTACAATGCCAAATGTCGTGGGTGCAGTACTTTGGCTCTGGCTTGGACACATTGTTGTACCAGATTGACTTCTTGTGCAATGTCATCCGTCACGGCAGCTTGTTGTAATAGACGTTCCGTATTCTGTATTATGGTTTGGACCATGTCCTGGTCCAACGTGGTCGTGGTCGTCAACACCTGATCGGCACGAGCCCATTTCCCCGTGGGATCTTGACAGCGGATACAGTCACAAGAAAAGCCGTAGGTGCGGTAGAGTTTGTCTCGTCGCTCCGGCGACGTACCACTCAGATCGACGTAGCAATGACAGAGTTCTTGTCCGCGTTCGACCGTGACGAGGCATTTGATGATTTGTAGATTCTTATTATTGCTGCTTGTTGATGATTGATAGAAAATGCCACAATTGGGTTCGCAAGAATGATTCAAAATGGCTCCGGCGGGATAAACTCCCGCGCCCAAAAAGAAGAGAAGATCATCGACAATGCCAAAATTGTTGGAATCAAAGCGTGCCAACAGTTCGACAATCATCATGGTTGTTGTTGTTGTTGTTGTGTCGATAAGGTCGGGAGACAACAGGTTCAGCGAGAGAACCAACTTGGCAATTTCGTAGTGACTGGGTTGAATGCATTTCTCGTGAAAGACCAGATCCTTGACTCGTTGGAATTGGACCGGATTGGTCTTGGAGAGACGAAAGACTCGAGCTACCAACAAGGCATCGGCCAAACAATGATAGAAACTACTACTCTCTGGCTGCTGTTCTTCTTGTTTGTCTTGTGATAGCGCCGTGCATTCCTCCTTGTGCGCTTTCCAATCCCTTTGCTGGCATTTCTTGCCACAGTACCAAAAGCGACGACATTGACTGCAGCGAAGGAGCTTGTTGTTGTTGTTGTTGTTGTTGTTGTTGTTCTCGGGTTTGCAGAAGCAATGATTGCAACGGAGACTCCACTGCTTGGGATGCAGCAAGGTCGACACGGGGGTTTCCTTCAAAATAGTTTCTCCCCTCTGGATCTTGCGTTTCGCCACAACTTTGCGGTTGGGGACTTGACCGACTACTTCCACACTGTCACTCCATTCGACAATGGATTTCATGGCCTGCTTGATTATTTTTAAAAATAGTAGTATTACCTGTGAGAGTTTCTGGCTTGCGAACTAGATATTAGTTGGACCTGCCAATCTCAAGCATCAGACCGTAGAGTGAAGAAAGGGTGGTGGGAAAGAAAGCCTTTGGATCCAGTTCGCCTTGGATCTTTCTCAACAAAGAGATCTTTTGTGCGTCCATCCTAAATGTCCACGCGTTATTCGCGCTCGACAAAGACCTTGGTTCCTGGACAACTTCCAGTAGTCTAACCGCTCTTGAATCCTTGATTGTGACATTGCTGCGGCACATTGATGAACCTTCATTTTAAAAGCAAGCTGCTTCAGGCTGTTTTGTGAAGCAAAAGTCATACGGAATGCTCGTGGTACCATGGAATGAATATTCTTGGGGTGCTTGTGTTTGCAATTCCACACAAAAGTAGACTTCAAACTTCACGTTTGACTCATCATTGGGTGTGCAGATAACAAGATGCATCATTGGTGCATTGGAATCATTGACAGAGTGAAAGTTGTGCAAGGAATTGTATCTAAGGAAAGTGCAGCTTGCATGCCAAAAATCTCCTTGGATGGAGTCAGTCTTCATGGTTTTACCAATGCTTGGAAAACAGAACATATAACTGAAGATCCTTACTCACTCCAAAGAGCATTCTCTTGGCCTCAAAAGTTTGCTGACAAGATGGAGCTAAATATATCTCTGCTGATTATGTATGTTTAGGATACAGGTGCCATATGGATCCTGTCAACTACCAAATCACCTACTGGGCGCAAGTCAACAAAGCTGAGCAATCAGAATGCATCCTTGCATGAGCTGGTTGTGGCCTTGGAAAATACCACCAAGAAGCTCCCTGGTGATCCAGACAAAACTCTGGTATGGGATCCTCCAAATGAGCACAGGACCAGCTTCTGTGGTTGTAGTTTGAATCTGCTCTCTTCTAGTTTGTGGATCCAGTGGTCTGTCTGGGTTGAATTAATTATAAAAAGTGCCTACTAGTAGCTCGAAACTCCTAAAAAATCAATTGTGTTTCCCAAAAGGTCTCACTACACCTGCAGATGAACCATGAGGCCACCTTACTCCTTTCCATCCGTGGGCTCTTGAGAACCAACTATGGATCTCGGGGTTGCTTCTGATGTTGCATGACTTCCGCAAAACTTCGAAACCTCCCACGCAGGCCAGTCCCAGCGCGAGGAGCGAAATTTCGGGAACGAACCGGCAGGTTTTGTATGTGGGAAGTGGTACAGTAGTAGGTTTGTACAGAGTTCTACACAGACCGACCGTTAAATACAAAACCAGCCGTTAATCGTTCCCTTAAAAACTGACCTGCTACTTAGGGCCGGCTGTGCCCCATCGGTCTCCGGCCTGACTAAGTAACTGACCATCGGGCTGTCGGGCTTGCGCCCTCTCTTAAGCCCTCGGTCAGTTACTTAGGCAGACCTCCGACCTTGGGTCCCTGCCTCAATCCCTAAGTAAGCCGGTCTGTTTTTAATAAAACCAACGCACCCTCCAAGAAACCAAATTGTGACATCTCCAACGGTGTGAGTAAGGGAAAAGTATTGGCCCCAAAAGATCCCTCGTACTCGACAATGATGCACTGCCGGCAAGGAGTAGCAGCAATAATCTCCTTGTGCTTCGTCCTTTTAATAGCACTGGACTCATGTTGCATCGTTGCTGGCACTTGGAGTAGTGGTGGTCGCAACGATGAAAATACGAAACATGTGCGACAACATCACCCATCCCATCGGAAGAAGCCCCCACCAAATCGAAGATTGCGAAAAGGAACACTGTACAAGAATGGCGTTGGTGTTGATGCACGGGAATGGGAGGGTGGAAATGGAGAATCAGCAACAGTAGCAAACAAGGCCAACAACAACAAACAAGGACGGGGGGGCTCTGCATTGAATGCGGCAAGATATGCCGAACCAGCCATCAACACACAGGCGGTCGATACACCCTATATAGTTGAAACGCCCATTTCAGGAGCAGAATTAGATCAGAATAACCCTGATATGACTTGGGGAACTCAATGGGTACGTGATGCGGAACCAGCGGATCAAATCGACGACAATGGTGCTAGAACCGCTCCGGCGAAGAAGGTCATGTTCTGGGGTCAAAACCGAAATGCTGATGTTGAAAAGAGGCATTTTGGCCCCCATCATGCCGGTACAGGGCCATATCGTGGTGAACGTGCCACAGATCGAAAAGGCCGTGGGCGTCGTTCACGCGGAAGTGATATGGGCAAACGAAAAGGTCAAGGCCGAGGAAAAATGGATTCAGGTGGTGGCGGCAATGACGATTATTATGTTGTTGATGGTGGAGGCTACGATGAATATGCTGATGATGATGGTGGTGGTGGTGGAGGAGGAGGAGGGCGAAAAAGAATGGTAATGAGTAGTTCTGGCAGTTCTTCTGGAAAACGAAAAGGTGATTCTGGAGGAACCAAGGATGGACGTGGTTACGAAAAAAGGAAGTCCGGAAGCAATTCTGGGAAGAGAAAGTCTGGTAGTGGTGGGGGTATGAGGAGAAAGGGAGGTTCAAGGCAACTGGGGGATCGGTACAGTCAGGCAAGAAGGGAGCAAAAAGGAGGCGGCGTCGTATTCAAGAACAAGGATGGAAACAATGGCAGAGACGAACTTGTTTCAGATGAAGAACAGGAATATGAATTGCCTGCTGCACCCAATGCAGTCGAGCAAGCTTCCGCTTCTACTGAAGAAAACGACAATGCATACATATCGTCAAACACAATGATGCAAGAGAATTCGGACCCTGGGCATCAATTGCCTGCTTCTCCCAATGCAGTTGAGCAGGCTTCCGTTTCCATCGAAGAAATTGACAATGCATACATTTCCTCAAATACAATACCGGAGCTGGACCAGCCAGCACCCAAGGGAAGCTTTGACAATGCCGACGGCGTCACGTCCTCAAACGCAAAGCTGGAGCAGCAACAACAGCAACATCCATCCCCAAATGCAGTAGAGCAAGGGACCACGGAAGAATTTGAAAACACAGAGGATATCGCACTATCCTCAAACACCAAGTGGGAGGAAGATTTCTTGGCCCAGCCTGAGGGCAATGTGTGGAATCAAGAGAATGACGAACCAATAAACTGGAACAAAAGGTTGGGCGGCAAACAAGCCAAGACAGCAGCCGAAGCATATCGTGAGGCGAACAATGTTGGTCGGGCGAAGAACGAAAAGGAACCCAACGTTGATGGTGAAATCGAGAAGCAAGAGAAGAAAGGAAGAGAAGAGAAAGCGGGGAAACAGGTTGAAGAACAGATACCCGACGACGGAGCCGGCAAAGGAAGGCCAGGTGAGGAGCCACTGAATTCTGAAGCTGAGGCACAGGCGGGTTCTCCGGGGGGAAATAAAGGCGAGGTCGGAGCGGCTGTTGGTAATCCTTATCCAGGAGAAGCTTATTATGAGCATCAAGACGAATTGGCTGCTCAAGAACATGCAGGTGAAGACTTTGGCATCCTTGCTCCTGATGAGAAAACAGGAGAAGCTCCAGACGAGCCTCAATCATCTTCTGCGGACATCGATGCCAATGCGGTCGCTCATGCCTTACCCCTTGCTGGTTATGACCTTCCATCTTCGAATCCAACCACAGACAGTCCAAGTAACAGTCCCAGCACCTGGCAGGCAGCTAGGACTTTCAACCCAACCGAAAATATACCTACCTCTTCTGCTCCAAGTTCGGCGCCGAGCGGCAGCCCGAGCCAAACCCTAAGTCCAAGTCTTAGCCCTTCACAACCTAGTCAATCCGGAGAAGATAGCACGACCAACTTGGGGGGAGTCACCGTCGTTGGTTGGGATAGCAACAACAATGGTAACAACAGTGGCAATGAAGTCGGAAAAGATGACAGCAACACAGTCGACAATGCGGTACCTGAGGATGAAGCTGGAGAAGATATCAACCTGCTTGGGGGCGTAACTGTAGTTGGTTGGGGCAGCATCGCTGGTGATGGTGTTGGTATTGACAGTGGCAGCACCACTACGGAAACTCCCACATCTGCCAGTCCGACTACGGAAGCCCCTACATCTGCCAGTCCCAGTACAGCCAATCCTACCACTCCAACTCCAAGCACGACAAGCCCTTCCTCCTTTGCTCCCACAGGAGTCCAGAATGGAGGTGATAGCTCAGGGATCAACAAATCTCTCAGAGTGAAAGATGACCCCACAGAGTTATCCAGAGATCATGTCAAAGATGATTTTGCTGGGAATGAGCAGACAGACGATTTCTGGTGGGATGGAGAAGAGCAGAATGCGGCAATAGCATCAATACCCACACAGAATCCAGGAGCACCGCCCAACTCAACAGAAGACAGGAGCGACTGTCGCATTTGCTCCAGTGGAAACAAACCGTTGAACCCAAACAGAGTGATTATGCATACCAAACAAACTTGCCAAGAACTGGCTGAAGAGCTTGACTTGGCCCCTGTAGCATCTTGCACCGCAAAGAAGACAATCCTTCCGATTGACGTGGAGGCATATTGCGGTTGCGAGGGTGTCACAATGACGAGCTGGTGCACATTCTGTCCGCAAGGAACCAGCAACATATATCGCGATGTCACCATACCTTCGCTCAATATGATGTCCTGTGGGGACGTTGAATTGCATTCTTCCTTCATCACCGTTCCCGGGGTTTGTGAGAGTTTGGGGCATCTTTCAAGTCTCTGCTGCGGAACCTTGGATACGTACTGGCGCCCACCACTAGAACAGAAACAGAAATAGAAAGAGACTGGGGCTCAGGAGACGGGTGACGACCATAATGATGATGAAGCTCGATGATGAATCGAGTCGAGTCTACAAGAACTAGATAAGAAACCCTGTAATTTTAGCACACTTCCATACTATCCGGACCCGGCTCTTAGGATGGTTATTTGCGAGAATTCGTCGACTCCCGAATAAGAATTGTTCGGAGCTTTCGGGAGGAGGAGCACCGGCTTTAGGCGCCACTAGGCTGCTGCCTTCAGGGAGGCAAGAAACGAGATTACTGGGGGGGCGGGGAACGCGATTGTACTCCTCTACTGTCGGGTTTACACAAGCACCCGTTTCATTTGGTCGGCTTGATTCATTTGCTTCTTCTTTACTTGATGGAAAAGAACATCAACGGATCCAGAAAATCTGTAATCATAAGGCGTGCATAGGAGACATGTTGTACTCGGTGGCGGCATCGCGAAGCACATTGACATCTTCCAATCACCCTGATTCGAAGGACTTCGTCTTTCATGAGACGAGGAACCTTCGCGGTCTCTTTGTCTTCCGACTCTACTTTGGGAATGACTTCCGGGCCGTCCGCCGAGGTCAGATCCTTAATCAGAATATCGACCAGGCCACCCAACTTTGGGGTTTTCAACTCGGCGACCCAATTGGTGAGGATTGTGTTCGTCTTGCCATCTTGAATGGCAATCGAACTCACGAGCGGGATATGCTTTGATGGATTGTCGTTGTTCATCAAGAGCTGATGCGGGTGTTGTACATGTGCCCCCTCCACATTGTCAATATCCTTAATGTAGAGTCGCAACACAAGCTTGAGCTTTTTGCGCAAGGACTCTATGCTAGTGATTGCGATATCCACAATACCATTGTCATGACTGAGCACTTTGCGAGTAATGGCCACGTCATCAAAGGAGATCGTTTGTTCGACAAAGGAACTCTTGTCACAAAATTTTCTACCTCGCGGTGCTTCCGCTCCCATGTCACTCATCCATATCTCTTCCACGGGCAGTTTGAGTTCATCCTTGGGTGAGATGCAAAATTTTCGATCCACGGCGTGGTGTCCAATGGTGCGACCGAGGATCCATCCCAACGAGTACTTGGTGGCCAATGCAAAGCGGCACATGCGACAGTAGGACGAGGACGACTTTTCCTTTAAAAATCCATACTTGTCCTCGAGAGGAGTTCCCTCTTGATCTCTCCATGCATGCAGTTTGTCCCACAATGCTCTGGAATGTCGTACTTTGTCCAGATGTGCCGCCAGTTCCTTTTGGGACGAGTACTCTCCCCCCACAATCACACTATTTTTGGGAACATGCTCTCGAATGTTGGGTGCCCCAAAATAGACGGGGATGGATCCCGCCGTGAGGGCATCCCATACCAATTCGGAGAATCAGGTGTCGGGTGAGGTCGTGCGAATGCCCAGATGACAAAGGGTGAACAGGTACTGACGGTCAGTGATGGGTGTCGAGTACTTGATATCGGCAGCCAACGGTGGTCGCGTCGGTCAAAGGCGCCCAAACGCGCAGGGATCCGAGGAAGTCAAGGGGTTCGAAGGCCTCCTGGACGGGCCCGCCCACCTGCCGTGTTTGAGGGTCCGGACACGGGCTGTCGGATAAAAGGCCATGCCGCGGGTCCCGGAGGTGTGAAAGACAGGTCCGCGCGAGCATTCTTCATTTCCCCGTATCGATCCCAATCAAATGCCGAAAGGGGGATTTCCGATTGAAAGGATCGTGTGACGTAAAAGTAGTTTTCCCGATACGCCTTTCGTGAAATGGCGACTTCTTGGGGATTGAGGCGGGGATCCAACCAGGAATAGCGAAAGTGGAAATCGGTTCCTTCGACGGTCCAATCGGAAATATCGGGGAGACAGACTTCGCCCTTGGCATTGTCATTATCGGCAATGGCGCACGTGTCCATGCTGACTTTGCAGGGAACGTTGCAGTCTTTGACCGTTTCCAGCGAGCCATACGAGTCTTTGCGTTGCATGACAATGGGTGGCAATTTCATCAAGTCCCGCCGTATGGTGCTGATCATTTTATCGGAGGCTTCGAGCAAGAGACGTTGGTGGTTCGGTGAATGCATGCTCGCATAGTTTTTTCATGTGTGCGACGGCGTGGGGTTGGATGGTTTTGCCACACCAATGCCGTGGGAACGGTTGTGAATTGTAGACGATAATGGCCTTGCTCTTTTTGCCATGCCATTCTGAACACCATCATCTCTTCCCTTGACGAGAAGTCTCTTGTTACTGTCGTTCGTATAATAATGACAGGGTTGGAGTTCTTGGTCTTTTCGGACCATGAGTTGTGCAGCATCTTTGGCATCTTGGTCGGCTTGTTGCTGGAGTGCTTGGGG